TCATTGACTCTGTCGGGGCATGTAAAATTAAATATGTTGACTCCTGCAAAGCATTCAATACACTCCGATGGGGAATATAAAATTTGAATTGGGTGGGAGACAGTTGATTGACTTTCATGGGGTATTTAATTCACTCCATTGAGGCATTTAAAATTAAATATGTTAACTTCTGCAGGGCAGTTTATTCACTCCGACGGAGCATTTTATTGACCCCGTCGGCGAATTTAAAATCAAATATTTTGACCCCGCGGCGATTTAATTCACCCCGACGGAGCATTTTATTTACGCCGTCGGGGCTTTTAAAATTAAATATGTTCTCTCACAGGGCACTCCGACAGGGCATTTTATTCACTCTGTCATGAAATTTAGAGTCAAATATGTTGACCCCCACGGCGCATGTAGTTTACTCTGACAGGGCATTTTATTTACTCTGACAGGGTATTTTAAATCAAATATGTTGACTCCCATGGGGCATTGGGATCACTCCTCCAGGGCATTTGAAATTGAGTATGTCAACTCTGGCAATGCATTTACAATTAAACATAATAACCCCTCAAGTCAATCAAATTCTTCATGGAGTCAAAATAGTCAAATTTAAATGCCCATGGTGGTTGACATACTCAGCTGTAAATTCTCTGCCGGAGTGAATCAAATGCCCCACGGGAGTTGAAATAACCGCCCCATTGGAGTCAATCAAATGCTTAACCAGAGTTGACATATTCAATTTCAATAGATGTCATTGATTAATATTATGGACACAGGTAATTTACCATTAGAGCAGGTTGGGGTATATACAGCATGCTTTGCTGACCAGCAGCTGTGTGGTAGAGCAAGTAGCTTAGGGCAGAGATTTACAATTAGCTACTACTGATAGAAGCAAACAGTACAACATCAAAGCAGGTAACAGTATTACAGTTGTTCTAGTAAAGATTGGGGAACTATGGTGTGATGCCGACGGGACACCCAGAAGGCTGCCGTAGGTAGCTGCCGCGGCAAGAGACGCCGTGCCCGCAAGCCATTTGTATGCATCCGGCTGGTCCGTTGGTAAAGGGATGTTTTGGAAAGTCCGGCCGGGACCGGCTGGCCCGTTCATTACGAGTCATTGTCATGTCCGGCTACTACGTTTGGTACGTGACATAGTGACTGATATATGTGAGCCCACATGGTTCGAGAAAGTATATAAACAGTGACCCTCAACCCCAGAGCTCACATTTTAAAACGAATCACACACAGCTTACAATGCCTGTTAAGAAAGGAGATTTTCTCCGAGTCATCGACTCCGCTACCGTCACTCACATACAGGTGCACATTATTTGGCAGCAATCCTTGCAAAGCAGATCTCAGGATTACTACATTGTCACCTACACCAACATTACACGCGGTAAGTCTCTACTTCCGTGATTGGATTAGTAGATCTTATTTTTCTCTGCGTGTAGCGTCGGAGG